CCCCATGTGACAAGCTTCTGCACCACCAAAGGTACAATTTTTGCAATTTTTTTTCTAAGAGTGAAGGTGTACCTTTGAGGGTGTATTCAGACTCTTCCAGGTCTTCCTCACCTGTTCCTGTCCCAACACCAAGACGCCCCCGGATTTGATTGGGTGCCACGCAGATAACCCTTCACCCCGTCCTCTCAACTTTCCGCCTTGATATGCTTTCCAAACTCCATCCCGCAGGGTCCAACTCACACATATGTGCTGCCAGATGCCCTGGGGCAAAGAGAGAGGCAGCTGTGCCACCTGTAAATGGAGGTAACGACTGAGTCCATCAGCTGTATTGTGCAAGGTTGTTATGAAAGGAAGGTGTAGTGCAGAGTTCCTCAAACCTGAGCCTGGAGGGCCACTACCCTGCAGAGTTTAGCTCAAACCCTGATCAAACTCAACTACCTACTGTATAATTTTGTAGTAACTCTAAAGACCTTGATTAGCTTGCTCAGGTGTCTTTGACTAGGGTTAGAGCTAAACTCTGTAGAGCAGTGGCCATACAGGCTACTGGTGTAGTGGGTCTTACCTTATCATTGATGAGTAGTTCTGCTGGATTATGAATGCCCTGCAACAGGACAAGTTCATTGGGTTGTTCCGGTACAGCATAGGAAAATGGTGTCCCAATTCCATTCTCAGCAGGCTTGAGCCACAGACACGCCGTAAAGGCGTACATCTCTGGAATATTCCGCCTGACAAGCCCGTACATGTAGTTAGTCCTCACGGGGAAGGAAAGTTTATACCCTTGTGGGTAACTGTAATCTGTAAGACCTGGGAAGGAAAGACAGAGAGAGTGAGTTGAAAATGAAGAGACCATTTCATCCCCTGAGTTTAACCAAACCTTCCTCCTTACTCTGTTCCAGCTCTGCAATACGCTCTTGCAGGGTGTTGATTCCCTGGTCGATGTGCTGGTGGTGGCTCTGAGTCTCTTTCCGGAGGTTCTTCCTCTCCTTCTCCAGCAGCCTAATCTTTTTTTCTAACTCTCCTTCCAGATCCTCCACAGGCCTGCCAGGCTCGCCCACGTGATGTGAGGGGTCACACGAGTGTCATACGAGTCACACCTTCATTGCTGCAGGGCCTATCTCCAACTGTGAGAGAATTATGCAAGAAGTCATTATTGCAAAACCTAATACATCCTGTTCAACATGTGTATCTGACTATATTAAATCCATTTGAATTACAGGAACTCAAAAGAATGATTTGTTCTTGAATCAGACATACTTTTATGAATTTGTTCTCATTTAATATGTAATTTTTTTGAGTGAACAATGACTTACATTTCGTTCTGTTCCACAAATACTTTTTATTTGGTACAGAAAACAGTGGACTACTACATTCTTCAAAATATCTTCTTTAGTGCTCCACAGAAGAAAGTCATATGGGTTTGGAAGGACATGAGAGTGAGTAAATAAATTCACATGTATTTTTAAAGTGCTTTTCACGAGAGCAGCTTTACAGAAAATATATGCTTCAGTAATAATGAAATCTTGCCCTAATGAACTGGAAATATATCAAAACATCAAGACATTTCCTTTGATGACAATGATGACAGAATTTTAATTTTTGCCTGAACTTATATAACATTAAGTTATAATTATATACAATTATAGTGTTTATTGATGTTTTAAAATAGCTTTTACTAAAAGATTTGTATTTTTTTTTTTTACATTTTTTGTAATTTTAGACCTTTCAGTATAGTTTTTAATTGTTGAAGTGTATATTTTTCATTTAATATTTATATTTCATTTCTGCTTTATTTCCATTAACAAAAACAATTACTATTATTATTATTATTTAATTTCAGCAATAACAACTCTGGTCCATAAGTCTATATCACAACATCTACAATTCAGGTGTGACTGCTGACAGTGTTCCAGCTGAGAACCTGTACTATTCTCTCCTCCCTCATGATTTATGTATGTCTTTCTACCCAGGATATGAACAAGATGGAGGGGAAAACAACCACTCACCAGGTGAGAAAAACACACAGAGAGACATAAAAAAGAGCTACAATATGAACAGGCACACTGAATTATCCCCAGTATCCCCCTGATTTTGAACATTTGCACGCATCCTTGCCTACTAGTTTATTTACAAACCGGTTTCCCCTCAATAACTCCGTGGCACCAAATTCCAAAAAGCTTTAGACTTTTTTTTTATGTTTATAGTTTCTCATACCGACCTCCAACTTCTCTATGCGATCTTTGAGCTGAAGAATCGCTCTCTCCAGTTCCTCCACAGCCCGCGCCGTCTGCAGCTGTACCGCAACCGAGCTGCTCACATCATCCCCGGCCATGTGGCGACGGTTGCCCGCCCATACCCCCATACTCCGCTCGTGCAGACTCCTTTCCTCCAGCCCGTTCTCACACTCCGAGAGTTTCCCGGTGAGCTCCGTGATGGTCCTCTGGTCCATGAGGATCTGGTCGTTTTGCTGCATGACGATCTGCCGGAGCTCCTCAGCGGTGGTGCGGAGGCTCCAGTCCTCCTCATCGGCGAACGGGTCATCAGCTTGTTCTCTCAAACCCCTGGACTTGCAATCACTGATGGGCACAGGGGTACAAATGAGTCGATTAAGAGTGAACTGTTTCGGGCTTGGCCCAGTCACGTCCCCGGTAGTCAGCTCATTGAGCGACGGCATCTCCAGGCCGATGTCCAAACCTCCTTCATAAGATTCAGCACCATGGAGAGCTCCGAGCGGCCCGGCGTGCGCTACGGATCCAGGCAGCGGCTCCAGGAGCGACAGTGAGCGGTTGTCGGACAGCGCCTGGGGCGCGGCGGCCGAGGATCGCGAATACACGCTGGCGATGATACAGATGACCGCGCCGAGAAAAGCCAGCAGTCCGGCGGAGACCAAAACCACGACGAACTTCATCGCGCCTATTGAGATCTACAATAAAAGCGCTGAATGTAATTTTATGGATGTTTAATATTTACAAACGACCGGGTTTTCACCATCAGAAGCAGGACCGGATGAAATGAAGGTCGATCGCATCGGCTGTTTTTCCTCCGCTCGCAGCAGATGATGCTGCGCCTCCTCCTTTTCTGTTGCTAAGTGCCCCTCTGTCCGGTTTCTATGGCTACCGCGCGCGTGATGAGAGGGCGGTGAGAGACTGTGATGAAAACGCGTGATATGTCACATTGATGTAAACACCTCTTCATCATCTATGAATCCTCTGGCAGAAGATGAACAGACTGCGTTACTAAACAGAAAAATCGGCCTTAATATTAGAACATAATGAGTGAATAGAATAGTTACCAGGCTTGGTTTTTAGTGATTCCCAAACGTAAGTGTTCTTGATACCGAAACATTTCATAATTAATCTGTCACTAATATGACAAAAATATCTTATTTCTGTGTAAACGCCTTTATTCATGCTTTGTGATGCATTAAACAGTCATGAATCGTCACACTCACGTGTTAAAAATTCATAGCAACTTTATTAGGTATGGAAATTAGTTTTGAACTTTATGCTCGTTTAAATAATCAGATTTTTAAAAATCCCCTAAACCAGTAGTTGTATGTGGGAATTATAGTATTTTGAACACAATCGATGATTTTCAGGATTGCATAAGGTAAAATTTATATCCAATCTTACCCCAAAATGTTACCCATCGGTCAGATTTTTAAATGTTTTTGCATGTTTATTCCT